CATTGTGATATTAATAATTGTAATAGTATAGAGTAATAGTAGTAAAAGTACTATACTATAATAGTACAGTATAGAGATATAGTAGTATAAGTAACAAAATATGTTATCTGTGTGCTAAGCATGATTTTTAGAGGGGTTACGCCGGGTATATGCTATACGCTGGGTATAAAATGCAGACACAGTGGGGTCAAAGTATTTTTATATGATGAAATCAAAAGCTGACTTCTTACATATCTGGTGTAATGCCTGCCTGGTCCAGTGCAGTGCTTTCCCCAGTGTATTTACACTATTTCTCAGCACTATATGGAGCTAGTTTTAACTCCATTATTTCTACATTGTGCAATAGCTCTGAGCAAGCTATCTTGGGTATCTACATCTTATTTAATTGAAACTTAAGAATTTATCCTTTGAGTCTATTTCAGGATAGGGTTTTCAATCCAGAACTCTGTAATCTTAGATGAATGCCTTATCCTACTTACTATTTACAGGCTTCCTCTCTTCCATTCCTGTCATAACGTTTTTTAGAGGTCTTGCCATCTCCTGAGGGCAAATGAGAAAATTCTGAAATCTGAATAATGGTTAGATGTGAAAAATATTTTCCGCTGAACTCATTACACATTTCACACCTACTCTTAATGTTCTCAAGATAGCTCATTGCATCATGCTCTGCACATCAATTCTTTAAGCATAGATCATTTAGAATTTCCTATTGCTCCTTACTGAAAAATAGAGCTTTCTTTTCCTCACAAGAGAAAGAAAAAAGAAATTCTTCAGATGTTCCTCAAATCATCCTGGAAACAGAGGAACTTGTCTCTCAGCAATCCCAGGGAAATGTCCATCAGCGATACTGATAGATGGGTTTACTTGTTTTATTAAAATTATAAAATTCAGATGACTTTAGAAGTGTATATTGAAGTGTTTAAAAATTACTTTTTCGTTTCCCACAAAAAAAAAAAAAGACAATTTATTAAAACACGTCTATTAGGAGCTTGAAAATGAATTAAATGCCTTTAATTCTGAATTTTCTTTCTCAGCCAGCTTCAGACAGCTCTGCTCCAAATAAATGTAATCTTTTCTGAGAGTTAATATTAGACACATGTCAATATGAGTCTATTAGAGACTGGCAGCTCAGAAGCTTGTGTTCAGAGCTCCATTCAGCAGTTATATACTGTAGGCACCACTCCATTCAGCACAGTTACACACTGTAGGCACCACAAACACCTGTTTTGTTCAGGGGCAGAAAACCATTGGGAAGCTTAACCAGTGGGGGTTAGTGATTACAGACAGTTTAAGATAGCATAGAGGGGCTGAAATTCACAGATGAGTGCTCATTATTAAGAAGGCAATCCCAATGATTTCTTTTTTTTATATATCAGTGTGGAAGCAGGGAGAAATCCAGCAAGGCTATAATCTATTTACACTTCTAAGTCCTCCGAAGTGGAAACTATTTCTTTGCATGCATTGCACTTATTGTATTTCTGTTCCCTTTCTCAGTGTTTCTTTTGCATTATCACAATAAACACAGCCATTAATACCAAATACCTGCAGTGCCCTCTCCCCATTAGAGAATTGCTCATGCTGGGATGATCGTATTCAAGGATTCTGTCTGCAAATAAGGACTTGACTGCTCTTACTCTATAAATCTGTGCAGTGCTCTTCCAAACATGACTCTAGATTTCTACATAAATATAGGTTTTGTTAATAAAGTTTTAGTCATATTTTGTACTTTAAGAAAGTTACACGTGACAGAGCCTTTAAAATAGTCTTAAAGCTCAAAGCAGCAAAAAAATAAGAGAAATGATATTTTTTCTGATGTGAGGTTTCTGAAGCAGAGTTGTGGATGTAGAGACAAGCAATGCTACCAAACGCCTGTCAGAGGTGAGAGAATAAACAATTTGTTCTGCATATAAAAGGATTTTCTTTTATCCCTTATGCCCTGGTTTTACAGATCTGCTTTTAGGTTATAGTGTAGGTGTGTCTGCTCTCTTTTGCTCTCTCAAAAAGCATCTCTTTGAAGAAGCTGTAGGTGTAGCATGTCTGTCGTTAATCTACATCACAGTAATGGAAAATGAAATGAACAGCTAGTGGGTGAAAAAAACAAAAATTCATTTTTCTAGTCTTCTTACCAGATGAACATATAGAATCATTAAGATTGGAAAACATCACTAAGATTATCTAGCCCAAATGTCAGCCCACCACCCCCTATGTCCACTAAACCATGTCACTCAATGCCACCATATACCAAAGGCCATAAATCTTTTGATGATGCTACAAGTTTTTGTTCCACTTCCCCCCCCCCCCCCCCCCACACACACTCCTTTTTCTGCCTCTTAACTTAGTTTGATATTTGAAATATATTTTAGGCCTTTTAAAAAAAAAAAAAAAACATGACACAAATGTATGTGCTAATAGGGCATATAAAAGATTGAAAAGGTAAGGACTTAAACAGATAAAATCCAATGATATTTGGAATAGCTGCTAATACTGATCATAAACTGTTAGATCATCACTCTACAATATTAGCTATATTTTTTATTAAATGTTACATAGAACTCTACTAAAATTTTGATGATATGAGAATCACTACCGATTTTCTGGAGTAGTAAACTTTACAAATTATTGCATCTCATGACTGTTCTTCCTTGAAACATATTAATAGCATTGCTGTTCTGCAGAGTGTCACCATTAAGGCTTTGGAAACTTGTAAGACCAGTTTTCAGAAGCCAAAAAAAGAGGACTAGTATATATTTACAATTGGAGCAGACTGAAGAAATAGTATGAAAATAATCATTTAAGAAATCTCTAAGATTTCCTCTTTTTGCACAAATGTAAATTCCCCCAGAACAGCATTGTAACAAGAATTAACAATGAACAGACTAAGAAAGAAAACATTCATGGAGCCTTGCCTAACAGAGAGTTCACAGTCTCAACAACTTAAGTCTACAGTCAGCAACCCCACACACTGGAGAACTCAAGGAGCACCATATAGCTATACATAGCGTCACCTGGTCATTCCCACAGGAACAGTCACTTTGTCACTCTTTTACATGCAAGTTAACCACAACAAAAAAGTCATCCTCTATTTTTTATTTTTTTCCCCAGCTCTAAGTGAACAAAAAGCTTTTTTTTCTTCCTTTCTGTGCATAGAGACACAGGTGTCTGTTTCCTTATACTTATCTCCCTGAATGAAATCTGACATTCCTCCTCTTCCATGAAGATGATCTAATTATTCCCACACACTATGGAAGACTCAGGCTATGTGTTGCATCACACCACGCAGACTGGGCATTTGCTCGATCTGACTTTGCACAGCCAGTACAAATCTGCAGTATGGGGCAGCACTACGCACAAATAACATGGCACAAAGAGTACAGTCATTGTCACCTTTGTATCTTTTAAGTCAGCTTCCAGCATTAAAACACAGATGCATTTTCTTCTAATATTTATGATCAGGCTGTGTACACATATCTCAATTTATCCCTTTATAAATTTTCAGCTTCGTGTCTGCAACACCTGTTCAGAATAAATTTACGGAAGGCACATCATGTTATTATTTTCAACCTCCCAGTCAGAATATCATCCATTATAAAACATTAGCTGTTTACAAGAACAGAGGAGTTCATAATATGTAGTATTAGAATGTTATTGGAGGAAAAATAAAAACAAAAATAAAAACTAACAAAATCTTTCCTTATTCTCCTTTAAAATGAAGAAATCTTGCAAACCCACACTTATTCAAACCCTCATCTCAAGTTAGTCATCACATTGCTTCACTCTTTACTTCTCTTTATGCTTTGAACCTCCAGTGTCTATGCAGTTGTTTCTAAGGTAACAGATCAGGATGTCTTGTGGAGAAATAAAAAAAAAAAAAATCAGATCTTGAATATTCAAGACATTTCTAGTTGCTGAAATGAGAAAAGAGCAGTGTCATCTCAACTGAGGCCTCTTTTAGACTATGGTCTGACTTAGATACAAAAAAAATATAATCTACCCTAATGCTGCAGTGTGCAAGTACAGTGGCATATGCAGTTTCAAGCACGTAAACTGCCAGAAATTTTTAATCAGTGCCATAATTAAAGAATTACGGAGGCCGCTCTCAACAGTCTCATTGTGGGGTACACACACACAGAATACAGATGAAGGATATGCTTGGTAGGATTGCACCTTCATTTCAATCACTGACAGTCACATAGAAATCTTTCTGTGAAAAATGTGAAACACGAACCAAAAAATAAGTTAAAAATGAACATAAATCAGAACAAGAAAACAAATATATACACCCCTTCCTCGAGGGACCATATGTGCATTTTTACATTAAAGAAAACAAAGCAAAATCTTTCACAGGTGATTAACTGAATAATTTTCAGTGAATGAGATAATTGGGTTTCGTGTTTTTCAGACTGGCAAGAAGTACCTTTTGTTTCTTTCACAGGCTGTCTTTCCTACTACATGAGCTCAGAAATCATACAGATGTATGAATGAAAGCTGCATAGAGAGAATATTAAAACCACCAAATCCTTCATTATTTGCCTAACACTGTCTGATACATGTTTGTTGAAATTCTGGTATATGAACAAACGTACCCATCATCTACTATAAAATAATCATACAGCGTTTTTAAAGTACCATCATTGTAAGATCTAAAAAATCACATTCATAAAAACCATGAGACTTGATAAAAACATTCAGAGTTGTACTGTTTTCCAGCCATGTAAGAGAAAACTGACAGAGTAGCCCAGTAGATTGGGAGTCAGGAAAAAATTACATTTATAGTGACAAGCTGTACTTGCCTTCCTGCCTGTGAATCCTGTGCTCTACCTATTGTGTTACAAATCACTGTGCAGTATTAAAAATTCATAGAATTAAATCTGTTCTGTTGGTTCACAGAGCTTGTTCAGAGAATCCTTTGGTGTATACTCTGCACGAAGAAAACATTAGCAGTTTGTGGGACTGGTATTGTTTAACAAACTGAAAGGCAGACACATTGATTAAGACCTTACGTTCTTGGAAAGATGTGAAGAGCATCTGGAATCGGCTGCTTCGACTGCCTTCATCTGCCCACAAACGGATTACTCCAAGACCTGTCCGCAGCATTACATCATTTGCAACAGTGCTGCAAAACTTTGCTTTTAAATCCTCCACAGAGCTGCTTCCATCATAGACAGCTACAAAATTTCTTTTGCATTCATTGGAATTCTGCATCTCATAGTCCAAGAATCGCAAATATATCTGTGAAACAAACAAGAAAGAAAAGGCAACATGTAGAAACATTTTGGAATGACTGACAATGCATTAAGCAACAGTGCTCTATCTTGTGGGAGAAAGGCTACACAACAGCATCAAAATAATTTTTCTGGAGCTAGTGATTCACATACAACTTCCCTGAGTGGGCATTAATACAGAAAGTGCAAACTATTTATAATTCCTTGTATTTTGTCTTGCTCCAAAACAGAACTCCAAAATAGAAGATCGAGATTTTTATACTTTGCAGCATAGTCCTAATTTCCAAACATATGTCCCTTCAGTAGAAGTATGTACAACAGTCCTTGAAGCTGAAGGACAGAGACAAGCTGGAAATTCCTTCTTTTAACTGGCACAGTATTGCTCTATTATTGCCTGACATGGAAAGTAACAAGGCAAATAATTGCTACTCTCTCCCCACAGTCAATGTGTCATCTTTGTGATATGTCTCAGCTACACAGATCAGGAAGTGAGAATCTAGGAGACAGGCAGAACTCAATCATTAATCTTTTCATGTTTCCTCAAGCAATTTGGCCACCATCTCAGCTTTTCTAAACAAAGCTCTTACAGTACTTGTCTTCATAATTTAGCAGGGATGAAATCAAGATTATTCCGTGGAAACTGCTAGAAACCTTGAAATTTTCCTTCGAAAATATCACTCGCATTCAAGTTAAGTTCTCTTACAAATATAATATATGTCTTACCCTTTACGAAGGTGTCTATAAACCTACCCAACAGAAGAAGTGAGGAGAAAATGCTATTTTCTGATACTCAACTTTATACAGTCTTGAACAGGGAAACAATCTCATTTTAAAGGCAACTGCTAAAACAAGCAACATCAAATATTCCAGCAACAGAAACTAAGTAAAATTTCCATTAGATAGATGATATATAATCAAACATCTAAGGGTACCTGGGAGACTTCAAGAGAATGATACAGAAAGGTGGAGTAGGGCAGAAACTGCATAAAAAGTCAGAGAACGTCTGGCTGTGTGCATCTTGAAAGAACAATCCCCCAAAAAACTCCACTGTATTATACATCAGATTAACTTTACAAATAGTCTTATTAACATCAGATAGCTATTTACATACACAGGACAGTTCACAAACAGGCTTCTATGGATTGGCACAAAGTACACAAACATTATATTCTAGAAGCATGCAGTACTCAACACATCTCCTCACTGACATATCAGAACTCATAACGTTTCAGAAGTTTTACTAAGAAGTCTGACACTGCTTAATTATAGCTCAGATTTTTATTTATTCATTTTTTTTTTTAAAGATATCGTATTACAGCACATTTCCTTCCCTTGCTATTCTTTGTAACTGGTCTTTTTGAAGCAAATATTTGCTTGACATTTTTTTACTTGCACATGAAATTCAGTATATGAATTTCATTTCATTTTTTCCACTATGTCATTTCTTAGAGCATACCCTAACTCTGTTCCAACATAGCCATCCTCCAGAAGAACTGTGAGGAACATATTTCAATTAAATTACAGATAAATCTTTCTTTCAGCATCTTTTTACATTATTATTTTTGAATACTACAAATTGAAGCAGCTGTACTGATCTCCACAAAATTGAACATTTAGCAGCAAAAGGTAATAATTTTCAGATGGCAAATATGCAAAGAAATTGTTTTTGTAGTGTTGGTCTTCTTGATAATTTTGTTTTTAATTTCATTTGCCCTTGTTCCACTCCTGTAGAGAAATGAAAAATTACTTGAGTTCAGTCATCCACCAATTTTATTAATATATTGTCTGGAATTGTCCTGTAATTTCCTCTTGTATTAGGAGCATAGACATTCCATTTCGGTTAAAATGGGTCACCAACTTCCTTGGCAAAGTCATATTTAAAGGCTTGTTTTGAACTCTTAAATCTCTTGAGTACAGGAAATGTATTTCTGAAGTTTCTCTGCACTGGCTGTATCACTTTGCAAGTCTCTTTCATTCTCTCCAATCTTTCTCCCTTCACCATGTGCCAAGGCATCTGACCCTTTTCCTTTTCCCTCCAAACCTTGCTCTTGCCATTCTCCATTCATTTAGAGCATTTAAGTCTTGCTGATGCCAGGCAACTTTAACTCTTCAGGGGAATCCCAGTTTTCAGTTTCCTGCCCTTTTCAGCCTCTTCCATGGCCACTAAGCAGATGAAGGTTCAGACTGGGTTCAGAACATCTCATAAAGAGCAGGTACAGGCTGCCCAGTGAGGTGGTCACCATCCCTGGAGGTGTTCAAGAAATGTGTGGATGGTGTTGATGTGGCACTGAGGGACATGGTCAGGGGGCATGGTGGGGATGAGTTCGTGGTTGGACTAGACAATCTTAGAGGTCTTTTCCAAACCTAATGATTCTACAATTCCATGGCTGGAATTTACTTTAATCTACTTCCTAGAAGCTGTTACACCTCTAAAAGGAAAGGTGTGAAAACATGCAGAAGTCAACTGGAAAACAAACTTGAATGAGCAACAAAAGTCTAGTAAGAGAGGTTTAGGCACAAGTTTTGGACCAGCAAAAGATTCAAATGAAGCCATGCAGAAATCAGATGGGTGAGATGGGCTCCTCACTCCAGTGGTTGACAAGGCCCTCCTATACTAGCAGCTCCTAGGGTCACCACTGTACTGCCAGAACAAGATTTGGAAGACGAAGGGAAGTATGGCAGGAACCAGAACTAGAACTCCCACATCTGAAAATAGCCATAACTGGGACAGGTCTGAAGAGCAGTTTCCTGTGGCCTAGAGACCAGTCAATGTTCAAACACAAGCCTAACAGGCACCGTGAAACCCTGGCACTCAGCCTCCCTGCGAAGCTGCTGAAATAGTCCTTGTCTGCATAATATTCCACTTATCACTATACATACGTATATAAAATAGATCATATTTAGGCATAGTAAGACCATATAGATATAATGCAAAATGCACAGATTATATTTTTTGTCTTATTGCTGTCTTCAGGAAAACTCTTACCTACTCCAGAAGAAAAATATCTTAGTCTGACTGCTATAACATCAATAAAACTATATGTAATTTAATGGGGCAAGGATCACTCACATTTGTTTTCTTGTCTTCTCCTCCTACCCTGATATCTTTTATATATGTATGTATGTATGTATATGTATATATTTATATTTGTATATATCAGTTCACATATATTTTTAAGCACATACATATGTCTGCACAGGATACATTATTTCAAAACCGAAATGAAATTCAAGAGTTTTCATTCTTACAATAAATTCTCACTATTTAAAAAATATCTCTCACAGCAATTTCCAGCATTCATCCATTATTCTTGATCTGTTCAAAGAGACTACTCATAAACTGTATGGCCAAAGTCTTTTTTCTATAAGCTTATCATTTGACATTCTCTAGTTTCTGATATCATGCTAGCCTTCTAAAATGGTAAATGTATCTCAGAGTAAACAGTTATAAATGCTGAGAAGGGAACAGGAGAACAACAGTTTAGCATTCTGCTTTGATTCTTTCAGTGAGGAAGACACTACAAACTTTTTTCCAAGATTGAATTCTGCTTTTGGTCACTTCTGTTGATTCCTGTATGTGATAAATTCAGCTAAAATATATATACACACACACATATATGACAGAGATTTGGTGCTGGCACCACTGGAAATAAATATTTGGCTTTAAAAAATCTATGCCCATCCTTCAGAAGAAAGATGGCACCTTCTACAGTGGCATGAAGTTTCATAATTTAGAAAAAATAAATTTACTATAGTCTGAGGTGAGCTGGAATTTAGTTCTTATATTCTTTTTTGGAGACAACTATGTCTAGAACTTTATATAAAGCAATGAGGACTTGATCCAAAGCTATCTGAAATCAATTTAGTTAAGTTTATTTGGATCATACCTATGGATTAAGACTGGAGCAAATTTTTTAATATTGGAAACTGTTCGTACAAACTGACAATCTACTATTGAATCAGATTTTATTTTAAAGAGATGAAAGTAATTTAATTGCATATGCATATTTTTGCCAATTTTTATAGTCTTATTCAATATAGTTGCCATTGCTGCTGTCATTGGGGGTGAGGTCCACACTGGCAGAAAAAAAAAAAAAAAAAAAAAAGACTAATAAATTGAGATCCCCAAGGAAAGAATAAATCTGATTATACAACAAATCATTATTTAATGCAAAACATTTCAGGTACATTGCTTTCCGAAATTAGTGGCAAGATTACTTTCACTGTTATGTAGATCTCACTATGATAAATTAAGCAGAGGGAGAGAAAAATTATAAATATTTCTGGTTATTTCATTTGCTGTGATCTTAGTCGTTACTTCCACCAACAGTAGATAAGAAATTGTCCCTTCAGAAGCAAAAAAATGAAGAAAACCTGAAATACTATCTTCTGTCTTCATTAAGCCTTCTTCCATTGATACCAATGGAGGCTTTTTGAATGTTACTATTTCTGTAGGTACTGACATATTATCTTAGCATAATGAGGCCTTTCTTGTTGAAGAGAACATTGTATCCAAAAGAAGCATAACTGCCGTATTTCATCCTTTGGTATTTTTCTTGTAAAATTTTTATAAGACGTTTTCCTCACATAATCAGATCCATAGTACAGGTTGCTAGTACTCAAGTATTAGCTTTTATTGAGCTTTGAGATGTCACTACAAATACTAATGTCATTAGAAACAAAACTGATAAACCTTCACTGTACTGTGGTATATATAATTAATGCTCAGTCACATTACAGTTTAAATAATTGTCTTGTCACTTTTAAGGTTCCCACTGTCATCATAATAATGAAAAAGGAAATGTTGGACAAGTTTTACTATTTTTTGTTTAAATTTCAAAGCAAGAGAAATCTTTTACTGCATATATTAAAAAAAAAAAAAAAAGAATGATTGTTAACTATTAATAATACATCACTTCAGTAAAATAGTCAGATTATAATCTCTTCATAGTGAATCACTTTTGATGAGTTCTGCTTTTTAATCAATCACTGAAGGTTAGTGCTGAC